ATATTACGACTTTAATTTTGTAATATTATGACTTTAATTTGGTAATATTACGACTTTAATTTTGTAATGTTATGACTTTAATTTGGTAATATTACGACTTTAATTTTGTAATGTTATGACTTTACTCTCGTAATATTACGACTTTAATTTTGTAATTTTACGACTTTAATTTTGTAATATTATGACTTTAATTTGGTAATATTACGACTTTAATCTTGTAGTTTCGCAAAAAAATATTTCTCTTAGTATGGCCCTAATACTCCGTGGTAATGGTAGCACCGTGTTTAATAAAAACAGCTATCAAAATGCAGAAACTGATTTAAAACAGAAAAACGTTTGCACTGAATCTGATGGGTGACAGAATTTAGTGTAACACCGGAAACGGTGCTTCTTTTTTTTTTATCGCGAGAACAGAGCACGGGATTTGTGAAGGCCGGGATTTTCATTCATCATACCGAGGTGAGTGTTTCTCGAACAGTTCGAGTAAAATAACCCTTTTTTTAGGGGATATCAAGACCTTTTGCAACCCATTTGTAGAGTTATGTATCTATTTAAATGTTTTCTGTGACTTAAAGAGAAGTCAGGCGTAAGATTAAGATAGATCTAGTGAGCGAAACGTGTTAGCAGTAGCTGGTAGTTAGCTTTCAGGCTAACGTTGCCCCCACGATATTCAGGTTGGATGGCTGAAAGTTAATGTTAGATAGAAGTTTAACAGACAATCAAAACCTCTGCTTCAAACTGGGTTAAAGGGAATATTTCAAGTTCATTTTATCTCTCCAACTTCTCATCCACAGGTTGAACGATGGCCACTCCGGACGTGCGGCTAAATCATACAATCTACATCAACAACTTGAATGAGAAAATCAAGAAAGATGGTAGGTTTGTCCTCTCCTTCTAGGCTTCAGTTTCAGGCTCCAGTTAAATACACACCGCGAATAGAGAGCCTCTTGGATCAAACTAATGGTTTCTCTCCTGTTTTGTGTTCCTGCAGAGTTGAAAAAGTCGCTGTACGCCATCTTCTCTCAGTTTGGACAGATCTTGGACATCTTGGTGGCACAAAACATTAAAATGAAGGGTCAAGCCTTTGTTATTTTCAAAGAGGTTAACAGCGCTTCAAATGCTCTGAGATCCATGCAGGGATTTCCTTTCTATGACAAACCCATGGTAGGTTCAGTGAATACCAAATCACCAAGAAGCTGAACAGAGGACAATATAACAAATTGTTGTCTCTAAAATATATGGTGGTCTGAGCTCATCCTGTGTTTTCCTCTTGCAGCGAATCCAGTATGCCAAGATGGACTCGGACATCATAGCTAAAATGAAAGGGACATATGTGGAGCGTGACCGTAAAAAGGAGAAGAAGAAGATCAAAGGAGCCGATACAGCTGGAGCTAAGAAGGGTGTACCGGGAGCTGCTGCACCCATGGTTGCTGGTGTACCTGCTGCCATGCCTGTAAGTGGGGCAATAGGTGGTTTTGTTGGTAATCATTTGGTAGAATTAATATTCGCAACAGAATTACGTAAATTATTGTGCAAGTTGCAAACTCTTATATTATATATACTGTCAATGGACCAGATGAAGGTGGATTTTTTCCCCCCAAACTGGGTCTGAAACCAAGATTCTTCAAGTTCTTGTCTCATTTGTTTCATTTTATGGTCAAAGTATGGAGAGCAGTTAGTTTTCATGCTGTAGACTAAAGTAGCATACAGACTCCCCAGGTTTGGCTGGAGCTCATTGATGGTGTTAGAGGCAAATGTAGGAATTGAACGGTGGAAAAATATCATCACAGCTGCTGACATGCTCATATGTGCCGTTCTTCACCCTCTAGGGAATGCCTCCAATGAGCCAGGCTCCACGTATGATGCACATGCCAGGCCAGCCACCTTATATGCCCCCTCCTGGCATGATGCCTCCTCCGGGCATGGCACCTGGCCAGATGATGCCCGGACAGATGCCTGGACAAATGCCCCAGCAGGTAGTGTGTGTGTCCTGTGTTCTGAACGAGCACGTTGTCACTTGTTGATGTTATCATTTTGTCCTTGTGGTTTTATTCTGACGCCTACCGTCTTTCATCCTCACAGGTTGCAGAAAATCCTCCGAATCACATCCTCTTCCTCACCAACTTGCCAGAGGAAACAAACGAGCTCATGCTCTCCATGCTCTTCAACCAGTCAGTACCAGCTCCTTTTCTGCATTTCCTGTTTGTATTTGTCTGTTTGTGGATTGCTGATCTGACTGTATTGTTGTTGTGTGTTCAGGTTCCCCGGGTTCAAGGAGGTGCGTCTGGTCCCTGGTCGCCACGACATCGCCTTTGTGGAGTTTGACAATGAAGTGCAGGCCGGCGCCGCACGAGACGCACTGCAAGGCTTTAAGATCACACAGGCAAACGCCATGAAGATTTCATTCGCTAAGAAATAACCTCTTAAGACCGTTGTTTCTTGCGTGCTCACACACACACACACAGGGCTTTTTAATAATGTTCAGCAGTGACCCAAACTGAGACATTTCTTAGAGAAATTGACATTTGCTGATCATTGCAGCACGAGCGGTGTACTTTTCTCTTCTTCTTCGAGGATTACATGTAAGTATACGTGTAGGGGTATCGCAGCTGGTTTTGACTTTATACTGAAATCCATGTCATCTCTTTTGGTTTGTTTGTTTTTACTGTTTGTGATGAAGCATTGCACCCAGGGTCTGGTCTACCAGACATTGTACCTGGAGCTTTTTCTTTTTATAATTAAAACCTTTCTTTGAGACTGTGCTCTTCCTCACTTCTTTGTGTTTATGTTGCAGTGTGAGTTCATCTTAGGCCAATAGATGGTGCTATAAACCTACTTTCTTGTGCCCCTGATGTTAAAGGTGTGTTGCAGGTAGGTGGGTAAAGGGATGGGTGGATGGGTTAAACAGTTCAAACAGTAAATTGGTTTTTGAGCAATCCGACTGATGTTGTTCCCATCACTTTTTTGCTCTTATATTGCATTTATGAAGACGGTATATACTCCTTATTTATGTTATTTATTACATTAAGCTGCAGGAACTGAATAATTGGTTGTTTCCAACTCACTCCAAAAGTCAAATTAATTTATTTAACACACTCAATGTTGCAAACATTGTTTTAAAACTTCAAAACTAACTGAAATGCCAAATAAGTGCTCAAATATTGTTTGAAAGACTAAATCCAACATTTATTGACTATCTGCCCACATTACCTGCACCCATACAGCAAAAAGTGGCACTGCTGCACAAAAAGTATCTACAATAAGAAACATGATGCAACCTGAAGTTATAATAAACAAATTCACATTACATCTTAATTAGATATCCTAATTCTTTAACAAAAAGTCACACCTCAGCTTGGCTTGGCAAACATAAAAACAGGATGCACTGACTACACTGAAGCCTCACTTTTGTTCTTCTAGATATTTGAATTCTGTTTTTGTGAAATAGCCTTCAGGGGAGCCTGTCTTGAACAATAAAATGGCAAACTCTCAGCCCTTTGTAGGACAAAGCTGATCATTAGAATTGTCTGTATTAGTTAGCAGAGAAGAGAAGGTCATTGATGTCAGACAACAATAGTCCTCTGCTGGACTCGGTCTCAGGATGCTGATGTTACATGGCGCCCACATTCTTCACAAAATTGAGTCTTTGTAGAAAATTGGAATTTTTGTCCTCAGAAAAAAAAAAAAATGTTCCATTCGAATTTTATTTATTAGAAAATAGTCCAACTCTTACCGCTGTGTTCAAAGCATTGTAGGCCTCCGTACAAATCCTCATATCCCTCCTGCTTGTGAAGTAAACTAATTAGAGTCTCTTTCAATTTGTGCGTTGAAGAACACAGTACATGCCCAAACAAACCGTATTTATCTTTATTGGTCCTTTTTGCTCTGTTCTTTGTGTAATAAACCAGAAGCAGATTAATTTATTTTTTTAAATAAATCAGATTACATCGTTTGCTGGCTAATCTTGAGCCATCATGCTTTGGCAATTTTTTGTATCGTATCATTTCCTTCCTCTGTTTCTGGATTTAAGGCTTAATGGCTTTTTACCCTCGAGTAATTCAGAAACCAGAGAAGGAAAAATGTTTCCTTTGTCATTGAGTTGTAAATGCTGGAACTGTTCGACTGGCACTGAATTAGAGGCTTAATAATTGTGAATTCATTTGTTCAGTCCTGGGAACACACCTGTATTAGTGTTGATGTGTGTAGAAACACTAATTAGATAAAATCTGTTTCCTCTGTCATTTCTGGCTTTGGGTGTTCATGTAAAACATTAATTTAACAAATAAGGTTAAAATAAATAGGTTTTACACAGATATTTGAAGCCACCAGTGCACAAACACTGAGAATGGACTTTACAGGGAAGTAGGAGACCTCTTGTATTTTATTAATGAGGCAGATAAGTAGATGTCTTTTAAGTGTTTTAATGTGAACATTATACAGTTTTTTTTTTTTTTGTTTTTGTTTTTTTGCATCTATCAGAGACACATTATTTCTCCAAGCAGACTATTTGTCTGTATACACACTTTATACACCACAGTGTAAAAACACTCAGTTACAAGTAAAAGTACTCATAATGCAGGCAGACTGGCCTAATGCCAATAATTGATATGCTCACTTAGAAATTATAATCTGCAAAGTAATTAAAGCTGTCAGATAAATGCAATAAAAAGTTCTGTGATGTGAAGTAAAAGTATAAAGTAGAGTGAAATATTATGTTTTATAAGGACTGTGTTTAAACAAATATCTAAATGGGTGCCATCTCTCACATGTTCACAATTGTCTGGGGTTTGCCAATTAGTAAATGCCTGCTGTATGTTTCAGCAGCACATCCTCGAAGGCCCCTCGCAGCCTTCGCGTACTGCAGGTTTGCAGAGTAATTACATGCCAACAACAAGGACCACCTCCTCCTCTCAAAGGCTGGATTCATGAGTGTGGGACAGAGTGATGTGTGAATTAGGCCTGAAAAGCTCAATTTAGACTCGCACTATCAACTGTGCCCAGCGCACACAGGGCCTCCCTGTTGTGGACTTAAACTGTGCCCTGAGTAATTGTCTTCAGGTCAGCTCAACAGTGTATACAGAAATGCACATTCTTCTGTAGTTTCCCAAGCCTTTCCACACTCCCTTATTTTGCCTTGAGAAAGCACTGACCTTAGCCACCAGGGCGACATGTGTAAGTAAGTGAGTGTGTGTGTATGTGTGTGTGAGCGTGTGCGCATCTCGCAAGCTCTTGGCAAAATGCCTAGCGCCTTCTCATTCACCAACACAGTGATCTTTCAGTTGCAGGGACTGAAAGGCAACTTATCCGGTGGGTAATGTGTGGGAGTTGTTCGTCAGTGTCAGAATGAGATCAAAAATCATCCCTAAAGACCATATCAGCTTGTGACGATGCATATCTGCATCCGTGGGCTCTGTTTGGCATCTAAGGGCTTGTGGCATGTGTGTTGTTGGTCATTGGTGGTCATAAGTTCACTTTTAACGCTGTCTGTGCCAGTGGTGGGCTGTTTAAAGGGCACCAGCAGGCAGAAAGTTGTTTATGGTTTAACAGCTTAGTCTGGGTTCAGATGACCACCCTATAGGGCACTTTATCGTGTTTTATCTAACATAGAGGAAACAAAAAGGGCTTTTTTTTTTAACATAGGCGCACCAGAAGGGGGAGAACATCCACCAACATTTGTGCCAGAAACCCATTAAAACCCCTTAAACCCCACTGACCCACTTCCATCATGTAAACTCATGTTGTGTGGTTAAACAGAGCTCAAAGGCCCAGAGCTTTATTTTTAAATCGAGATCAGCTGTTCTGAAATGTGTGCAAATTTGTGTCATCTGAAACAAGTGATGTATTAATATTGAATATTTCACTCAGTTTTAACATCATAGCTTTAATAAAGAGTGAACAAGCTGATACAAAAGTGATAAGTGGTATTTGACGGACACAGTTTATATTAGAAATAGACAGAAAACATGGGGAGGGTCACATGCAACAACAGTTCTTAGCCAGAATCAAACCTGGGATACAGTTTTACATGGTATGTTTTATTACACCACTAAGCCACAGGGACACCATCGTCCTTATCTTTAAATATTTATAAGATTAAAAGAAAGCCTTTATTGATCTGCTAGAGGGAAAATCCAGGTGTTACAGTCGCACAAGGGCAGAAAAAGTACACCTAGAGCAACAAATAAATAATTGTATAATTTGTATTAAAATAATATAAAATAGGAAAGCATTGACCTTAAAAGCTTTTCCCAAAAGGACACGTGTCCAACAGATGGTGCCAAATACACAACTCTCAAGATTTCAATGTATGTAAGGAAACCCACAGAGTGTAAAGGTTGCAGATTTCTGGTGACTCTTCCTCAGGTGATCCACACACAGCCGCCTCTGAGCAGACCCACTGATGTCTGTGTGCTTCCGGATGGTTGGTTAGAATTCAGCTCATGTTTGGAGGTCACTGCTCCTCTATGCAAATCAACTCTGTGCTCCTCAAGAGCCCTCTGTTCTGCTCCGGGGTCACTGCTGAGTGCCAGGCCGCGGAAACACCAGCGGTTGTCAGGGAAGCTCTTGAGCAACAAGCCCGTACTGGATAGACCTTAAGATGTAGGAAGGAGGAGGAGGAGGAGGAGGGAGGCAGAAGGCAGAATCTCATTAAATGTTCTCCTCGATGAAGAAGGTACATTGTGTGGAGGTCTTGGATCCAAAAAGACGAGCACTGGAAGGCAGATGTGGAAAATATGCCATGTGACCAGTGCCAGTATTCAAAAAGATGCCTATACACCACCCTACAATTCTCTTTTATATTAAAGCGCTCACCCGGGTAGTTTTTACAGCCGACGGCGTGATTGAGCATCGGTATGTGCATACAGTATAGGCCGGCAGCTGTCGGAACAAGCTTAATCATTAATGTGGGCATGACGATTACAATTCCCTGGAAATCAGTCTGCTGGTAGGGGCGTCTGGGCACCTGCGCCACGTGTGCAGTGACCGTGCGCAATAGCGAATCAGCTTTAAGAGAAAACACTTTCCAAAGTGGCTGCAGACGAACAGTTTTGTGTCTGTTTTCTAGATTTTTTTCAACATACGATGTATTTATGTATTTTATTTACGGAGGGCTTCAGCACTCAAACACCCATAGACACTTCCCCATTAAGAGGCCACTCGAGCAAAGTGTGAGGAAGCGGCGGAGCTTTAAAGTGAGCAGATGCCTGAAACTGGACAGAGGAACCAGTGAGGTACCTCAAAAGAGAGTGAGGAAACAGAAAACCTAGAGAGGAGAACTGAAACACATACGGGATAATCCCGTGCGTAAATGTCACATCTGTAGAATTTACTGAGAAAGTTGGTGCGCAGGTTGCTCAGTGTGCGCAGAGAGGGAGAGAAAGGGATGAGAGCGTTGGTGCGCGCTAGGAACCATCAGGACAGGAGCTGAAAGACGGATATACCCTGCCTCAGGACACACCCTCCCTGCTCGCTCTCTCTCTCTCTCCCCCTCATTGTTTCCCACACAGACTGTGTCGCCACTGGGCTTCGTATCGGGTTAACAAATGACCAACCAGCCGCTTGGATGAGAAGAGCGCAAAGTGAAATCATTCCGCTGGAGAGACGCAACTTCGGCGGTTGCATCGCCAACATACTCATCGCAAAAGTGGATGAATGTAGATGTTATTTGGATTTTTTTGGGGTAGTTTTTTTGTGCGTGGATCAGGCTTGAAGAAGGAGAAGAGGGAGAGTGTCAGCTAATTGGGATGAGAGTTCAAGTCAAGTGAGCCGGCAGATTGGACCTTTAAAGCCTCTTAACGCAAGGTGGTGGGAGGAATACAGCGCGAGGGGAGTGTGTTTATGTGCCGTGTTTGTGTGTTTGTGTGCATGTGTCATTCCCAGTGGAAATCCACCCTGGGCACAGCGACAAGGGGGTGATCAGGTGTGTGTTTGTGGGTGGGTGGGGGATAAATCCAAGCGGAGACAGGGCCAGTTATGGTTTCTCTGACCTGGACGCGATGAAGTGGCTCTGCGGGAGTTTTAGGGTTTAAGACCGGAGAGGAGGAGAGCTGGGCGGACGAACGCAGGGAGGGAGGAGGAGGAGGGGGACACCACCACCGCCAAAGCGCACAACACGGTCCCCAACCCCTTGACGCAGGGATGGAGAGCACGAGAGCGCACAGGGTAACTCGGCTCGATCCCACAAACGGGAGCGGAAAGATCACCGGGAGGCCAGACATGAGGAGTGACCGACACCGGGGACACCTCCACCTGCAGCGGGCTGTGATTTTTCTTGTCGCGCTCACGATACAACCGCAGGTAAGCCACCGATTAAGTGCTATTTCTGGCGGCATGTCCTTAAACCCCCGAGACTGACTTTTAACTGTGGTTTATCCTGTATTTCTTACCACAGCTGCGTGAAAACAGTCAATAATGGAGTCCGCACGCACTGTCCCTTCCCTCTTTGTGCTGCACTCATTCTGCTCCTACATGGCGCTGTGCCCACCTGTTGTTTCAGCCCGCTGGTGTCTATTATCCCACGCAACAGAGAACTACTGTAATCCTGTTTTAGAGTCATGTGGTGCAAATATCACAACAAAAATATGTGTTGGCATAAGAATATTGTAGCAAAACATTATTTATTATTTTTTTCATTAAAAGGATGTCACTGTTGCTGTACCAAACAGAATATAATGAGGCGGACAACTCACAAATCAAACATAATAACAGCTTGCAGCTGCTGCATATGATTTATTTCGGGGATTTCAGTCGTAAGTAAAACCCTGAATTCTTTTTGAGGTACTGGAGGACAAATAACACCTTAATTACCTCCCACACATCCTCTGTTCAGCTTCCACTCTTATTCACTGGTAAATGAGTTTGCATTTGCATTTTTCTCCTGCATATCCATCTGTGGCACGTTTGCCTGCTGGTGCACTGTCCATTGTTTTTTTATATATAATTTTCTGCCACTTTCTGATTTATGGTTGCATGGAAGCAGACTTTCCTCAATGTGTTATAATGCTTTATAGATGACAGCAGAGTTCAATTGTCCCTGCAATAACTTGTATAAATTATTCTGGGAAAGCTGTTTATAGCATTATGGATGCAAAACCACTGAATATTTTTCCCCATTTGGCCTGTGAGCTGTCAAGCAGCTGCCGGCCTGATCAGGATGCCTATGATGTGTGACAGCACTCAGCAGTAGCAAGAACAGGCCCACAGGTGCTCCAGAGTGTGTGAACGTGTGTGTGTGCATGTTTTCTCTAAACACTGAGCTCACATCCAGCATCTGTGTCTTGGGTGTGTGTGGAGCCCGGGGCCACAGCCGAATAAACTCCGGGGCGTGTGAATGTTGAACGTTCGGGCAGCTCTGCGTGTCTCTCTCTGCACCTCTGCAACCCCTTCACAGCTGAAGAACAACACACTCCACTCCCTCCATTCTCCGACCGCACTGCAGTGTGAGACACACACTAAGGGTCCTCTGCTGCTGCTGCTGACTATTATTAATGTTCATCAGGACATAGCCAGACCTACTTGGTGATTCATAAGTGAGGCTGATTGACTTCAGTGGTCACTTCATGTCGTCTATTGTCCAGTTTTATTATTCCCAAGACTCCCAATATACTGCAGTGTAGCGAGAGTCTTGGGAATACTGTTACAATGTGATTTTCAGCTTTATAAAACCATTTTCATTCTGCTAGTTTCAAAAGGAAGAATCAAAGCTGGATTTTATTTTTTTTTAAGCTGTTTCACATAAAACAGAGCATGTATTTGTCATAGTCTTAACAAGCAAATTACTTCCAGTTACAGAGAAGACTACTGGAAAAAATAAATTTTCTGAAGTTTCAGTGTGTTTTGCTGAGGTTTTGCTGAGGTGTTGAGATACTGAAGCTCTGAAGTCTTCACGTTTGAGTGGCAGGAGAAATTTGTTTGACATTTTCCCATGAAAAAATATTTAAATGATCCAGTGATTATCAAAATTGTTGCCCATTAAGTGTCTGCTGACAACAACGCCATTCAAAGTGCCACAAAAAGGATATTTGAAAGCAATAATGTGTTTGTGCAGATAATCGGGTACAAAGAAACTCTCCATTCAACTGTAGCAAGGTCTGTTAACTGTAGTGAATAACCCCGTCATATTTGAAATATATTTGATATTTAAAACATATCGAGAAGTAAGATTGAATTACTGCTGTCTGTTTGCTTTGTACAATTGATGTTGTACTGGTGTGAATTACAGCTGACTCATCCATACTACATCTCCTTGTTTAAAAGGAACAATTGAGTTTTATTAATAGATTTTCATGGGTTAAACTCTTCCTTTAACCCTGTACTCCTCTTGTTGTTATAACAGAGTTCAGGTACTAACCAACAACTGTCTTGAAGTCTTTAGATGGAGAGCGTTTGTTGTGAGCCACCCTGCGTTTTGGGTGTAGTGATCCTTTAAATACCAACGGTCTCCTGCAGAGATGGTGTGAGCCTCGACTCGGATCTCTCTCTGTTTCTCTCCCCCCCCCTCTCTCTTCCTCTCTCTCTTCTCTTCCTCTCTCTCTCTCCTCTCTCTCTTCTCTTCTCCCTCCCTCTTCTCTGTCTCTCTCCCTCTTCTCTCTGGTCTCCTTCTCTGTTCTCTCCCCTCCCCTCTCCCCCCCTCTCTCTCCCTCCCTCTCTCTCTCACTCTCTCTTTCTGGTCAGACTGAGCGCTGAAATGCTGGTATGCAGGGAATGGCTCGGGCAGCGAGAGGAGGAGAGGAAGAAAGGAGGATGTAGAGTGATGAGTGCCACTGTATCTCCACAAACCTTTTGATGTAGACGAGTTCACCCCCCACCTCTCCACCATCCCCCTGACCCCTCCTACCTCACCCCCTCACCCCACCCTCAGCTCAGGGACGGGGGCAGGAGAGGGACACGCAGCCAAACACAATGGGGCGACTGAGATTCTGAGATTCTGGCTCACTGTTGGGCAGAAGACAGCCGACACATGAGAGCTCGTTGGTCCACGATCAAGCATGTAGCTCCGGTGGGGTTACATGTTACTGTTTCTTGGACTTAATGAGCAATCATTAAGTTCTATATTTGTGCAGAAATGCCAAAAAGGCTGTGAATTATTCAGATTTATTCATCAGTGGAGGTTTCGTGGCAAACTGAGATAACAGGGGGCTTTATTTTATTGTGTTTCCAGTTGTTGAAAGATGCCAAAACCATTGTTTCGTTCTGCCACAGTGACACACACACATGCATGCACGCACATACCTGACCCTGGTGCTCCGAGACTCTCAGGGGGTCTTGTTAACTCTAGTGTGTGTGTGTATGTGTGTGTGTGTGTCCCCTCCACCCATCTTTAAACAGGGAGGGAACACAGAGAGAAAAGAAAGGGCGGCAGATGAAAAGGAGAATGGCAACAATGCAGAAAAGAGCTGATGGCCACAGAAAGAGAGAAATGACAGGAGCGTTATAGCTTGTTCCCAGATAGAGAAAGAAGGGAGGAGGAGGAGGAGGAGGAGGAAGAGTGCGAGCTGGTTCTCAGTGTCATTGTCCCCTGGGAAGAGAGAGTGAGAAATAAGAAGGGAGTGGTGGTGACACATAAAGAAAAGAAAGACAAGGAGGTCGAAGGATAAACAGGATTATATGGCAGGAGAGATGGGGTATCTGTCCGTGATTTTTCCTTTCTTGGAGGTCAGGCTGAGTTTTAGGGGTCAAAGTTAAGTCCTCATTTCTTTTTTGTCCTCTGTTTTCCTCACTCATACCAACAAACGAATAAACAGATGATACAGAGAAGACATGCAGGAGACAGGAACATTAATGGTCCATTCTCAAACATTCTTCAAACACCACACACTCATTTATTATTTATTATTTTATCTATAATGTTTTTATCAGGCAATTCCTACCTGGTATATATCTTAACTAATGAAGGTCTTCGGATGAGATATCTAAATTGGGCACAAGGGACAGACGGTGTGAAGGATTTCTGGTTCTTTTCCCGGTTTTTGGTCGTGTTTATCTGTCTATTTTTCAGTGTAAAAAGGTAATTCTTTACAAAAGTTGCCAAACCATCAATTGAAGTTTAGGGGTCCAATATGGGAGTTAGTGTCCTCACTGTTGAAAGCTGTAAGGACATGCAAACTGCCATCTTGGTTTAGTGTTTTTGTGGTCTGAATGATTAAAGGGACAATTCACCCCAAAATCATCATATTTTTATTGTTAGTGAGTTGTGAGTTTTTTTGTGCTTTGTGGTGATTGTATTGGAGAAAAGGCTCGATATTAATAACGTTATGGTGAACTGTCTCTTTAACAATCTGATGACAGTTCTTAAAACAAAAACATCAAAGTTAGAGGAATTGTTTGAGATTTTGGTAAATATGCTTATTTTCTGCTTGTCAAGAGAAAAGACAACTCATGAGTGTGTTTACCAATTTTTTTATCTGTGTGTCTGAAATGAGTATTTATACCTTTCCTTGTCTGTAGCACCTCCCCGTTTTAACCAACATAAAAAGGTAAAACACAGCAACATTGTGCAGTATCATTTAGCCACAACCTCTGATGTCCAGGCACACTCAGATAAACAAACTTTAAAGTGTGCAGAGTGTGGTGATTTCAATGTCCACACAACCTTAAATTACCCTTTAATTTAATTCACCAGTTGACTTTTGTTTTTTTGCATCCATACCAGTGAGAACTTGTAATCTTTCCTTGCACTGCGCCTATTAAATAACAGAATATATATTAACTCTCTCTACCCTCTCCTCTCCTCTCTCTGGACTCAGACTGTGTGTGCTGTCGGGATGTTTGAGCTCCAGATCCGTCACTTCCAGAACCCGCATGGACTTCTGCAGATTGGAAACTGCTGCGACCTTGAGGCCAGCGGGGGGCAACGCTGCTCAGCCAGGGACCAATGTGACACTTACTTCCAAGCTTGCCTCAAGGAGTACCAGGCCCGGGTCGTCCCAACTGGAACCTGCACCTTCGGGTCCGGCAGCACTGGGATCCTGGGTGGAAACTCCCACTCGCTCCGCCACCGAGGACACGATGGGGGAGGAGGAGGAGAGGATGGGACTAATGGACACATTGTCATTCCCTTCAAATACGCCTGGCCAGTAAGTACAGGGGCAATGCTGGTTATCTCTATGGTTACCAAGGGAACAGGCTAAGCTTCAAGTACAACAATACACTCAAACTGCAGCTAGAGTGGAATAACAATGACAGAGTTCAGGCTCACATGCTTTTACACCTCTACTGTCTCTCTCTCCCTCCTGTGGTGGAGGTACCCGGGAAGCGGACGGACATTTAAAAAAAAAGGCCGTACAATGACCAGAATATGTTCATTGATTTATAGTATAGTACAATGCACAAGTATCTGTGTAGAAATCCCCCAAGTTAATCTAAAGCTTATCTGACAGGATTTAGTGACTAGTTACTTTACAAATTAATATTTTACATACAAAAAAACATACAAAGAGCTTCTAAAATAAGATGCTTTGTTATGACTTATACTACTCTACCTAATAATACATACAAGAGCTGAAACAATTAATTTATTAATTGATCAGTTGATTAACAGAAGATTAATCGGTGACTAATCTAATTATAAATAATTTTTCAATGCGAAGATGCCAAACATTTCATAGTTCCAGGTTCTCAAATGTGTGCATTTATTGCTTATCCTTGTAATTATTTGAATTATTGAAATTTATTTTAAAATAATTTAGTTCATAATAGAGTTTTTGTCAGTCAAATCAATTACTAGAGAAAGTAATAGTGGCATTCTTGTGTATGTCATTATCTTTTCCTTTCTCTGCACATTTCCGTCCTGCTCCTTTCTTTCCTTACTCCTAAACTCTCTGCACAGAAGTTAAACTGTTGGTGTTTTGTGTTGGTTTCTTCAGGGTGTATCGAACAATCTGTGTCTCGATCAAACATCACACTGCTGGCTGCTCCATCTTGCATCCTCATTAAAGAGTAGACCAATTAATCTTCCATTAGCACAACAGAGAGCGAGTAAGGCCAAGAAGAGATATTGATTATTCAATCCACCTTTCTCCTTCCTCCCCCAGTCCTCCCTCTCTCCCTCCCTTTTCCCCAATTATGCAGGAAGAAGTTAAAATTTCGACTGTTGATCAGACAAAACAAGCACTTTGAAAACATCAATTTAGGTTCTGTGAAATTGTAAAGTATATTTTTTACTCTTTTCTGACATTTCAAATTGGCATTTTAAAGGGCAACAGAAACACGTTTCGGCCCTAAGTGTCTTGAAATCCTTACAAATGAGGAAAAGTGAGAAGCAGCAGTGAGCGGAAAAGAGCTCTTACTTCCTCCATCATCACCCATTGGTCGCTTCTTTCCTGGACTCAGCAATTAATGTTTGTTTATCAATGAAACCAGAGCTGGAGAGAATCCCTTTAAAATGACCTGGCAAGGACACGAAGGAGAGAGACACAATTTTTCTAGGGATTGCAGAGGCTTTTTCTCTCACAGTGAAAGAAATCCTCCTGCAGTCTTTCCATTCTGTTTTGTGCCTTTTATCGCTTCCAGCATGGTTGACTTCTTTCTCATAATGAAAGTATTACAGAAATGGCAACAAAAGGCCTTGTTGCTCTAATTCTATTCATATTGTGTTGTAAAAATGTTTTCTAATATCACACAAAACCCACTGAAGCTTCAAATACACACACTAATATATCCACACTGACCTGAAGTCACACACATACACACAAGAATGTAACATACTGTTGGCTTAGGTTTCTTCTTCTTGATTAGTATCAGCCCATTTACCTGTGAGACTCTCTGTCCCAGAGCCAATTATCTTCCCTTATCTGTGTACAGTTTGCTTTTGTGTGAGTTTCTGTTTGCTAGTGTCACACTTTCCTTGTGTTATTTCCCCCTCCTCCTATACATTTGGGAGGTGTGTGATTGGCAGGTACGAGTGTGAGAAAGTTCTCCATCAGAAAGGCTACCTGGATCAGTTTCAGGGCCGGGCTAGAGGGGGAGAGAGAGAGAGAGA